AATGTGGCCAGCTTTTAGCTGAAAATGGAACAAAGTGCACTACTGGAGAGCTTTGGCCTTATTTCTCCTTTGCACAGCACTTATGGAATGGACAGAGCTCACTGGAAAGCACTGCCATTGAGCAAAAAGCTCACAAACTATCACAACACGTTAAGAGTATCTAATCTGTCTCTGGACACACAGATTTTCATTTTTTTTCAAAATGCGGTTGAACTAAATGCACCCAAATACATGTAAGCACACAGTGTGCATTATATCATTTACACTCACTGGCCACTTTATTAGGTACACCTTGCTAGTGCCAAGAAAATATCCCCCACACCATTACACCACCATCACCAGCCTGAACCATTGATACAAGGCAGGATGATTCCATGCTTTCATGTTGTTTATGCCAAATGCTGCCCCTACCATCCGAATGCCGCAGCAACCAGTCTTCCCATTCTCCTCTGACCTCTGACATCAACAAGACATTTTCAGCCACACAACTTTTGCTCACTGGATATTTTCTCTTTTTTGGACCATTCTCTGTGTACCTTAGAGATGGTTGTGTGTGAAAATTCCAGTAGATCAGCAGTTTTTAAAATACACAGACCAGCCCGTCTGGCACCAACAACCATGCCACGTTCAAAGTCACTTAAATTCCCTTTCTTCCCCATTCTGATGCTTGGTTTGAACTTCAGCAAGTTGCCTTTACCACGTCTACATGCATAAATGCATTGAGTTGCTGCCATGTGATTGGCAGATTAGCAATTTGTGTTATCAAGCAATTGAACAGGTATACCTAAAAAAGTGGCCGATGAGTGTAAAATATTTACATGCATTCAGAATTGTCTTATAATCACGTCCTGTAATCACATGCATGTAATTCTTGTGGGAATAAGGCAGAATCAGAAGATGGTCTCATGTGTGACAGCTTCAGATAATTGTAGCTAACAGACCTTAGGCTGGAAAACTTTGGTCATCAGTTCATGGACTGCCTGGAGCATGCCAGCTGTACTTTTTCCCTCCCTCCTGCATAGCCTTTTTGATGGATTTTTTTTAATGCTCCTCAAATGTCTATGCAAATTATACTATGGACAGCACACAGTGCTGTTCACATTATCAAAACATGAAGCATTAGAGTTGCATCGCTTCAAAATTGAAGCCTCGTGTTGAGTTCTAAACATATATACTGCTGCTTCAGGTGAGGAGGCTCCCAATCTCCAAGCACTACTCCTCCTATGGGTGCCAGCCCAGCTTGTGTGTTATACAATGAATAGCAAAGAAAGTCCAGTTGGCTGCACTCCTATCAATCCACTTTGTTAGGCATACAATAAAACCAAATGAAAGACAGGAAATACAAGGGGGGGCAAGCAGGTATTTCCCCTGTCTGTCATTTAGTTTTATCATATGCCTGATAAATGGATTGATTGGAGTGCAGACCCGATGTTCTTTGCTATTTACCTTAACATTACTTAAGACGAGCCAAAAAGAATCATGAGATTTTTGGATTATGCGTACATCTCCAGCCTTTGTCTGTGGCCAGCTTAGAATTGAACTCTACTTATCAAGCTAATGATTTCATTGTCCAGTTTTGTAAAGAAATGTAGAGCTGAACTTTCAAGAGAGGTTACCCTGCATTCTAAGGTATATGCATTTTCTAAGGTATATGTTTCTCATTGCCTTGTTTCATTGTATCTCCTCTACCTTTAGGCTCCATGCACACCGAGCATTTTAATAATGCTAGTAACGTTAGCTGTATAAAGTCAAGTTAAAAACGTGAGTTTTTCAGCATTTTTTAGCGTTTTTGTATTAGCGTTTTGCTGCATTTTTCCCACTTGCGTTTTTAGTGGTTTTTAGAGGTTTTTTTGACCAAAAAAAGTCCAAAAACGCTGGTTTGCCGTTATTTATCGTGTTTCGCCACATTTTTCATCGTAAGAGCGTTTTTACAGCTAAAAAACTCCTCTAGAAACCCACTAGTTCTGGAGTTTTTTTCCAGCCCAAAAACGCCCCTGCCAAAAATGATGATTACAGTCTATGTGTGCATGAACACATAGGATAACATGCTGGGGAGTTTACTGGCTGTAGAAAAAAATGTCAAAAGCCAAAAACAGCATCTGTAAAAATGTCTAGTGTGCATGAGGACTAAAAGAAACCAGATTTTGACTCACTGCAAGTGCAGATCTGTCTACATAATCACCCAATGTTATAAATGAGATAGTATTCCAATCAGGTTATGGTAATAAGTGAGTAAAGCACACTCCAACCAAATCTGTGCCTAGCACAGTACAGCCTTCTTAGAATGGACGGTATGCAAATGTTTCAGTCCATCTTATACCCCAAAAATAAGGCAATTATTCCTTATTTCAGGACAGTAGGTGGAACCATGTAAATCTTTGCCTTATGCCCATCAGCCAGATCCATATTCAGAATGGCTGTTGTGTAGTGCAAATATGGTCTAATATTATACAGCCTTTTAGTCCAAACTGCATACACTGGTTTCAGGCTTTTTGGCTGCCATCAGTGCAGTGTATGAAAACCATGGTTTCATCGGAGTAGAGAATGAGTCCCAACAACACAGTGGGGTTTATCTAAAGGCAAGCAGGTTGTGAACTTTGCAATGGAATTTTCTCCAAAGCTTAGTAAATGCGGTGAAATTTCACTTTGCAAAGAAAACCCAATTATGTGTAAGTTAAGTTTAAAAAAGCATATTTTTTGCCTGCACATGGTTAGATGGAAGTCAGCAAAGTTGTACCTCATTCAATAAGTGCCCAGGAAAATTTCCTTGCAAAGTGCAACTTCCCTTGTAAAGTGAACCACCTATCTGTCTTTAGTAAATCAATCCCAACACAAATATAAATGTATTTCTTGTGAGCTGCTTTGGAATAGCTCTATATTTATCCGCTGGCAATTGTGACATATCAGCTAATTAGGATGGCTTCCAGGCACTTTTGTAAAGTGCATGCTTATTATTTGATTTTCTATTTCAACAGTATATTTTGGCAGAGATATATTGTTTTGAATATTTTTATCCTGAAAAAAATTACAGCTGTGAACCATAGTGTAAATAAAGTGTCAACTGCACTATTTAATCACCACCAATTAGGAATATAATACAGTTAGGACCGTCACAGCAAACTGCATCATCAACAAATCTCTATGCTTATTTTTTCTGGTAATTTGCAGCAAGCTATAGTGTTTCAGAAATACCTGGCTACAATAATTTTCTACACTCAGCATCTGAGCTACAAAGAAGTTGGAATTTCAACTCCATAAGGTTAGGTTCACAGACTACACAGTTTTGTAGTGCAATTCAGAGAGCAGCTGCATTCCAAATCACATGCAGTTCTACTTGAATACCAACGCGTTTTTCATGCAGTTATTCAACACAGAACTAATAGCAAAAACACATAGGATACATGCGAATCCCATTTAACTCTGTATAATACAAAATTGGATTGCACTCCTGCAAACTCTCACTAGACCCACAAAAATGCTGCATGGTTCAACTATATAAACACATCAGATCTCAATGGGGAAAAAAAACTTGCTGGATATTTATACTGATATGGACTTGGTAATGTGTTAGGAATGTAAAGATACCCCATCGTTTGATGGAAATGAAAATTATCAACCTACAGAGGATTGAATTCAAAAACACCCCAAGAATCAAAGTGAAAAAATGATGCAGCAGGCTAGTCCATTTTGCTGAAATTTCATTGCAGCAACTCAAAATGATACTCAGTAGTTTGTATGGCCCCCATGTGTTGTATGCATGCCTGACAACATCGGGGCATGCTCCTAATGAGACGATGGATGGTGTCCTGAGGTATTTCCTCCCAGAACTGGACCAAGGCATCTCTGAGCTCCAGGACAATCTGAGGTGCAACCTGGCGGCATCGGCTGGACGGAAACATGGTATCCCAGAGGTGTTCTTTTGGATTTAGGTCAGGTGAGTGTGGGGGCCATTCAGTGGTATCAGTTCCTTCATCCTCCAGGAACTGCCTACATACTCTCGCCACATGAGGCCGTGTATTGTCGTGCACCAGGAGGAACCCAGGACCCACTGCACCAGTGTAGTGTCTGACAGTGTGTCCAAGGATTTCATCCTGATACCTAATGGCAGTCAGGGTATCATTGTCTAGCCTGTAGAGGTCTGTGAGTCCCTCCATGGATATGCCTCCTCAGACCATCACTGACCCATCACCAAAACAATGCTACAGGCAGCATAGCGTTCTCCATGGCTCTCCAGACCCTTTCACATCTGTCACATGTGCTCAGGGTGAACCTGCTCTCGGACCTACCATTTCTGGTGTTCAATGGCAAATGCCAATCGAGCTCTGTGGTGGCTGGGAGCGAGCAGAAGGACCATTAGAGGATGTTGGGCCCTCAGGCCACCCTCATGAAGTCTTTTTCTGATTGTTTGGTCAGAGACATTCACACCAGTGGCCTGCTGGAGGTAATTTTGTAGGGCTCTGGCAGTGCTCATCTTGTTCCTCCTTGCACAAAGGAGCAGATACCGGTCCTGCTGATGGGTTAAGGACCTTCTACGGCCCTGTCCAACTCTCCTAGATTAACTGCCTGTCTCCTGGAATCTCCTCCATGCTGTTGAGACTGTGCTGGGAGACACAGCAAACCTTCTGGCAATGGCATGTATTGATGTGTATTGGAGTTGGACTGCATGTGCAACTTCTGTAGAGTCCAGGTACCGCCTCATGATACCAGTAATGACACTGACCCTAATCAAATGCAAAACTAGTGAAAAACAGTCAGAGAAGTCGAGCAGGGAAGAAAATGTCAGTGGCCTCCACTTGTAAAACCATTCTTGTTTTGGGGGTCTTATAATTGTTGCCCATCTAGTGCACCTGTTGTTAATTTCATTAACAACAAAGTAGCTGAAACTGATTAACAACCCCCTCTGCTGCTTACCTGACCATATCAATATCACAGGAGTTTAACCGCTTCCCATCTGCCCTATAGCAGATATACGTGATTTCGCATTTCCGGGTAGAGGACACGCGCGCACCTCTTGCTGCTGCAGCTGTCACTCACCAGCCGGTGATTACTTGCCGGCACCTGGTGATTGTCGAGGATCTTCGACGGGGAGGAGAACTGTTAGTAAACAAAACAGTTCTCCTCCCTGTCAGCTTGTGCACACTGTTTGCATGGCTGTGCACAGCATAGCCATGCAGAGCAGTGTGCTTACATTGAAGCACACAGACACAGCCCCATAGGAAAACATATCCAGCACACAGTTAACCCTTTGATTGCCCCAAATGTTAACCCCTTCCTGCCCAGTGCCATTAGTACAATGTCAGTGCTTTTTATTAGCACTGATCGCTGTATTGGTGTCACTGGGGATGTCAGTGACATCAAGTCAGTTCCCCCCAGTGTCAAAATGCCCACCGCAGTCCCGCCATAAGTTGCTGATCACCGCCATTACTAGTAAAATTTAAAAAAAAAGAAAAAAAAAAATCAAAGTATATATACTGCCATTTGTAAATGCTATAACTTTCACATAAACCAATTAATTTACACATATTGGGATTTTTTTTCAGCAATGTAGCAGAATACATTTCGGCCTAAATTTATTTGATTTTGTACTGGACATGTTAATAGCAAAAAGTCAAAAATATAGATTTTTTTTTTTCTCAAAATTGTCAGTCTTTTTTTTTTATATCGCAAAATCTTGCCAGTGTTTTTTCCCATACAAAAAAGAGAAGAGCCATGCCAAAGCTAGCTTCATATTTCTTCTACAAAATCACCAGCGTAACATGGGCCCATGTACAATGGTAGAGTTTCCAATGAACGCCTGGCTGAGACAAATTTGAACATAATGCTTAAAGGGTAAGTTCAACTTTGGGAACATGTTACATATTCCATCCAGCCACTGCCCGCTGCCCCCCTCCCTCTGACAGATAATACGGGGAGAAGTTTCCTCGTACTATCTGTCACATTTTAAACCAGCGCGGCCTCACCATTAATTCACGGACTTCCGTGAATTAATGAACTGCAAGTCCCAACATCCTTAGCAGCTGTCAGCTTGTAGTTTTCCTAGTTTTCCCATCGCGCTGTGAAATACCGTGGTAGTTCATTGAAACTTCCTGTCAGTATATCTGTTTGCTCGTACATCCCGAACAGCAAGCAGATATTCTGACAGGTCTGCAGAAGACCTGCATGGCATCAGCGAGCCTGCAATGCTTTGCAGGCTCCTGTAGACAAAAATAATAAATGCACATGCAAAAAAAATGTTCATTTATTATTTTTGTCTAATAGGTGAACTTATGCTTTACATATACAGGGGACAAGGTATAATAGTGCACAAAAGTGATTTAACATTTTTCATGGTTACTAAATAAACAAAATAGCATAAAAACAGTGTGAAAGAAACAGACTATTTTATAGCTCTTCTGTACTGACTTGTGTTGTATTGTGTTGCCAGCCACAACTTGTGTTATTGGAAAATAGCTGCTAAGATGCAAGAAAACTTATTGTAGCATTTATTATTATTATTGTTATTAATAATAATAATAATAATAATAATAATATTATTACAAAGGCAGCATATGCATGGTATTTAATTTTTTTTAAATGATTTAAATATTACAGTAGAATAAATATATAGACTTATTCTAATTTTATAAAGATGTGATTATTTTATGCCATGAATCATATCTTCATGTCTGATTGAATGAAGTTCTGTTCTTAAGAAATATATCACACACATACAATTTATGGTTGGTTAGCAATGTAGGGCAGATAGTGAGTGCAAAATCTAATCTCCCAGAACTCTGTGCTTCATCTGCTCTCAGCTGCATAATCAGCTTTTCATCAGCAACCTGGATAAATTCCATGCACTTGTTTGCTGTAACCTCCATGTGGGAATAAATACTGTACGAACACGTTTAACCCTTTATTCTTGCCAGAGGATATATAATACTTGTAGACTGATATGTTTGATTACACAATATACCATTACACCCCGGTCACATCGGGTGCGCCTTGCCATGCGATTTGCATGCTATGCAACTTGCAAATCGCATGCCAAGTCGCACCCTATTGTCCGCAATTAAAGCGGTCATATTGGTGTGGTTCCAAATTGGCCGGAGCCGCACTGATTTATAAAGTAGTACATGCACTACTTTTGGTGCGATTTGCATAGACATCTGTGTCAGATGTCTTGCAAATCGCACTTGAAATTGGCATCTCAACCAACTTTGAAATCGTGCGACTTCACTGTAAGCCACACGATTTCAAAGTCGGGCTTGATGTGACCGGGGTTTAAGGCTCCATTCACATTTGTGCAACTTGTCATGTGACTTTGGACACACAAAGTCCCATGACAAGTCATAGCTCATGCATTTCAATGAAAGCCGTTCAGTTATATGCGACTTAAAGTCGCAGTGACTTTAAAAAGGTTCCTGCTTTACACTGATGTGACTTTCATGCGCCTTGAGTACCATAAAATGCAATGTAAACTCTTAAAAGTTGCATGGAAGTCGCATTTTAACTTTATCAGTTCAACAGTTGTGCAACAGTCAAAGCCGACAGCCAAAAACGCATCCAAGTTGCACCCATCCAAATTTGCATCAAAGTTGCAATGTAAAGTTGCAATGGAAATCGCAGGACTTTAGAGTCGCACAAGTGTGAATGGAGTCCAACTCCATTCACCAACTGTTGCTAAAACTTGTTTTGGTGAGTCATAGGGAGGAGAGACAGCTTTAAAATTAATAGCAGTGAAATATGGAAAAAAATGACAGGCTCATTGCCCCCCATCAAGACATAAAATACATGTAATAAACCTGTCCAGCATCTTTTATAAAAGTGTTATCAGCCTTAAAGCTGAACTCCAGGAAAACACCCACACTGCATGTGTTAACTGCTTGATTTGGTTTAGGGTATTTGGAAAAGCACTGTTTACTTACCCGATCCTCCACTAGTGCAGGTTCCTCTGCGCTGCTAGACTGATCCTGCAACCTCTTCTTTCCTGTACTCTGGCCCTTTAGACTCTTTAGACCTGTGATCCCATCAAGACCAATGTAGGGTCCTTAGCCCTGCATTGGACATAAGGATGCCAGAGTATGGTCCACCGCTGGAGTATGGGGCATTGCCATCTCCTGGAGAGTGGAGGATCAGGTAAATAAAATGCTTTTACTGTCCCCAAGACAGAAAATCAGAACTCCGGGCAATATTTTTTTTCACCATGCAGTGGGGTTGTGCCTGCCTGCTTTAAAAGCCCATTCAAAATAATGGGCTGCAATACACCTTAAGTCTAGGTTCACATGTATGCAGGTTGCGTTTGAGCTGTTTCTGCATTGTGTTTTGCGTTGCATTTTTGCACTTGCGTTTTTGACATGTTTTTGCCGCGTTTTGCATTTTGTTTTGTTTTTTGTTTTTTCTTGTTGCTAGGCAGATTTAAAACGCAAAATGCATCAAAAACACAGCAAAAACGCAATACACACTTTTTTGCAGCATTTCTAATTAAGTCTATAGAACGAAAAAAAACGCAACTTTTTACGTTCAAAAAAGTCCCTGACCCTTTCCAAAAAACGCATCGGGTGAAAACGCACAGGTGTGAACATGTCCCAAAGGATATCATGTTAAATGGACTGTACTGCGTTTCTGCAAAACGCTGCAGAAAATGCTCAGGTGTGAACCTAGGGTCACACAGGAAAAAAGTGTTGCTATATATATTTTGGTACACTGCAACTCACAGCACACTGTGAATTGTGCTGCACACACCTGGTGCGGATGAGCCTTTTACTACTCCTAGTCTTGGCCAATTCTGACATTACTCTCCTAAATGTAAAAACATCCTGTTTTGGTGGAAAACCACTTAGAATCCCCAAACATTTTATATATTTTATATATATATATATATATATATATATATACACACACACACACACACACACACATGCAGAGGCTCTAGAGAATAAAATGGTGGATGTATATTTTTTGTCACACGGTAGTTGCGCAGTGTTTTTTTCAAACGCAGATGTTTTGGAAAAAATACACAATACAAATGAATTTTAATGCAAAAAAGCACAATATAATACTGAATTGTTTAGTAAAATATAAAATAAATTTTACTTTATAAAATAAGATGTTACACTGAGTAAATCGATACCAAACATATCATACTTTAAAATTGCATGTGCCTGTGGAAAGGCGCCAATTGTCAGTACCTAAAAATCTTCATAAGCGACGCTTTAAAAGCCTTTACAGGTTACCATGTGAGAATTACACAGGAGGTCTGGTGTTAGAATTATTGCTCTCGCTCTGATATTCGTGGCATTATCTCACATTTATGGTGCGATCGCCGTTTTATTTGCTTGCAGGACTAATGCATGCTTTCTCCTTTATTATTTATTTTATTTAACTTTTTATTTTTTACACAGTAACTTTTTTCTTTCACTTTTATTGTTATCATAAGGGATGGCAACAACCCTTGTGATAGCATGGGCCATGACAGGTCCTCTTTTTTGAGAGATCTGGGGTCTATTGAACCCCAGATCTCTCCTCTGCCCTCCAAAGCATTAGATCAAACTGAGATTGGTTTTGATCTGGTGCTTTTACAAGCTTGTAATGGCTTGTTTACATGAAACCAAAACCAGAAGTAACAAAATCCTCATCGCTTCTGGTTTCTAATGTCACACATTTGGAGGAATGACATCCTTTCACTGTGTCTCTGGAACTGGATGCCGCCGGTCAAATCCTTGCCGGGCTTCCTGGTTGTTTGGGAGATCCCGGTAATGGTGACGGCGGGAGAAAAGGACCCCCTTCCACCACCTGTCAGTGCATCCAGGAGCAGCTGTGGTTTGGCAAAAAATAAGCTTAATGCAAGTAAACATACTGTACCATAACGCATGTAAATGCATCTAAATGCGCTTAAGAGCTAGGAGTATCTAGCACTTGAGCATTAATTAGTTTCCATGGCCAGAATAAATTACTATTCTGGCCATTGAAATGCATTAACACCCAAGTTCTTGATGCACCTGAACACCTTACACACACTGTAAAAGCATCAAGTGTTTTTTCTTCAAAAATACTGCTGCCAGGAAGAAAGGCTTCTAGGAGAGTTGAGAAAACATCCTGTGCTGTGTGCATGAGGCCTTATGCAGGCCATAGATGGGTCGAAAATCGGCCGATTTTTCAGCCGAAAATAAAATCGGCCAATTTTCGAATCGTTAGTGGGCTAATTGTTCGGACGTTTTTTGGTATTTTGGCAGATTTTTTTTATCAGTAAAGTTGGAAAAAATCGGCCGATTTTGCCGATTGGCCGATTTTCGCGGCAATAATGGGCAAATCGGCCGATTTTTTACTGATAAAAAAATCTGCGCATGAGCAGTGACCTGCAAGAGGAAGACAAAAAGAAGAAGAAAAAGAAGAAGAGGAAGAAGAAGAGGATGAAGCAGAAGAAGAGGAAG